GGCGGCGTGTAAAGACTTCCCAATTATCAGGGAAGCCGTCCCTATGCTTCTTGTCACTATATGATGAGAAAGCATGGAGCTGGCTTTCTGGCCAGTCGGGAAGCCGGGGGCCGTGTAATGACGCGGCACTCGGCTTCATGATTGGCTGGGAAGCCGGCTCCATGCTCCCTCGTCATGAGGTGATGAGGGAGCATGAAGCCGGCTTCCCGGCCAATCAGAAAGCCGGGTATCGCGTCATTACACGCTGCCCGGCTTCCTGATTGGCCGGGAAGGCGGCTCCATGCTCTCTCGTCACAAGTGATGAGGGAGCATGGAGCCGGCTTCTTGGCCAATCAGGAAGCCGGGCAGTGTGTAATGACGCACTGCCCAGCTACCTGATACCGGAAGTATCGGGCTAGGCATCGGAGCATTTGGGCGAGTATGAGTATTCGGCACCAATACCGATACTAGTATCGGTATCGGTGCATCCCTACTTTAAATCAATACATAGAAAGTGACCCCAATGTAATATATAGAAGCCCATTCACCTGAATATCATTGGCTGAAACTACAATAAGAGACAGTAAAACACAAATCAAATTATGCGGAATGGGGGCCCGCCAACCGTTTTACCGCATATCTGGCATCCCCGCTACTGCTCAGAGAGAAGTATGGACCCGGCACTCCAAAATGCAAGTCAAATGCATCTATTTATTGACATAAATGCAGCAATTCACATTCACTGCAACATTACTGCTCCCGCCTTAGAGATTTTGAGGGCCACCCTCTCCCTTTTGTTGAGGTTAGAAACATACATCATGGTGTCATGCGTTCTGGTGGAATGAGCAGCATCAAGTGTTTGATGTTGTATAGTTTTATAAAGATATTGAACAATCTGTCTGCAAACAGCTCTGCACACGTCTAAGGTTTAGATTTGCATCTCATTTTGGCCACTAGATGAAGCCGAGGAGCACAGGAAATTCCTATACTCCTCAGTGGGAGGGCACAGGACCAGGCCTGCCACCATGTAGTTGCTGTGGATATCTGTCAGCTGAAGCCTGTATTATATTGTACATAAGAAGATGTTTAAAGGAGAACTATGGGGTTAGGGCTTTTCCCCATAGTTCTCCTAAGGGTAACGGGAGGACACAAACTAGTGTCCTCCCGTCACCCTAAGCTCAGAATACCGTGAGCTGTAGCTCGCGGTATACTGAGACGCCGCAGCTGAAACGGATCCCGACAATTATGTCTGGATCCGCCCAGCTACGTGAGTGACAGCTGGCTCTGCCTATCTAGAGGCAGAGCCAGCTGTACACGCTCCCTCCGCCGTCGGTTCCGCCAGTCAGCGCTGGAGGATCGGAGCGGGGAATCCAGTCCCTCCCCTGTCACGGCCCTCTGCCGTGACAGGATCGAGAAGTGAGCGAACGCCGGTATGTGTTCGCTCACCTCCCGATCTACTGAGCCGACCTGTGACAGTCTCATTGTCACAGGTCGGCTAGAACTATGAGGATGAGTGAAAAGCACTCGCCTCATAGTTCTCCTTTAAGTAAAAGTTCAAAATGCTCTGTGTGTGGACTGATCCTTCTCCCAACCTCTAAGATGGGGGTTTGTCCTTGTCACTTGTGGTGGGCTGGACTGCTGTTGTAGAAATGTAAAGGAGTGTATGTGGGGATAGATCACGACAATACAGGCCAGGCCAGGCACAGGTTGCTCTAAGAGGTGGGCTCCGCCATGAAGGGGCGATGTGCTGAGATTCCGCCTGAGGCTGTGAGTACCTTGAGAGCCCTGTGTTTGAAGTATTCCAAAGGATCCTAGCCACTACAAAGGCAGCCAGGACAACAAGTTAATGGATGCCTGGCGCCACATAGCTATAGCACGTGAAATGCACGCAGACCAGCACGCAACCACTGCTGGGATCAATAGGTGGATCCCGCTACACAACACTATTACTCCAAATAGATCCCTCCTTTCAATACCAAGGCCATCCCTGTGCAACAATGGCCCCTTAAGCAATCTCTGCAACAATTTCCTGCAACAATTGCTGCTGAACATTGATGGTGCATGGCTTTTTGGAGGCAGCTAATAATTATCTCCTCCTGAACCAAACTTATGGCCATTGTTGGACTAACCTGGACTCAGCATGCAGCCACCAAGTCAGAGTGAAGACATATTTATTCTCGACAGTTATTCTCTTTTAGTGTCTCAAAGTACTGAAGCCAAATGATCAACTGGACAGCCAGGCACCTGGCATTTTCAGGAGGTGAGTACTTGTAGCCTAAATATTTTTTTCTGTACACAGGTTTCTTTTAAAACACTGGAATCCCCTTGTTATGGGAAAAATACCTTTTTTTTATCCCTTACAGACATTTGAGCACAAATGCAGGTCAGATCCACAAACCAAATATCTAATTTTGTTACAAAATGTCTTCTAAGACAATCGTCCCAAAAACATATAACAATGGGAAATTTAACTAAACTTCCCTGAAGACTGTCAAGAAATACCACCAAATAAGTCTAACAATTGTTAACGTGAGAAACTTTCTACAAAGTGTTCTGATTAGAGGTGCACTGAAATGAAAAATAAGGGGATGCACTCAATCTGGTACAATGGCATGTATTTGGTGGCACTGCCCAAAAGCATCTAAACTCTGGATTAGAGTATACAAGCTTATTCGTACAATCCTCTATACAAGAGTTCCATAGAAGGTGCTTCTCAATAGACCTATCCCAAACTCTCTTCCATACAGAAAAGATGCTCATGTCCTACAGATTCATAGTCACCAAAATGACCATCACCAGAGCCTGGAAAACCCATTGCCTATGCTTTGAATCATTCAAAAGGTCAAAAGTAAGCCAACTATTATGATGATCAATGGCAAGCTATCGGCAATTTTGATCGATGCCCATAGAAAATTCCATAAAATATGGCAGCCATGGATTTCATATTCTTAACTCTCAAGCTTTGATAAAAGAATGTTATTAATATAGGCACCTGGGACAAGGCTTCCCCAGGACCCCATGGGACTACCCACTTTCCTTCCTCCTCTCCTTTTTAGACGTTTACTTTCCACACCACTGTGCATCTTCTCACATTCACAGCATCTGAATTGACTGTTGTGTCCTCAACGTTTGGTCACCTCTAACATTCAGCCTATCCAATGCTCTATCAGATTCCATACACTTTGATATAACTTCTTCTCTACTTTCTAAATATGGATAGTATATCAGCACTCAGTCTATCATGAGTTGCTACTTTTATCAAACTCTTCTACTATCAGGTCTATTCAAAAAAGGGTGAAGAGTTTGGAGAAGGCAGGAGAAGTGAACAATCTAGGCAGTGGCGTAACTAGTGACCTCAGGGCCCCGGTGCAAGAATCCATGAAGGGCCCCCCACCCAAGAGTGAAAAAATTAGGTACATTGTTTAAAAAAAAAAATGTAGAGAAAAAACAAATGATGTTAGGGGTTACCGGGATATTAAATATCCTGGTAATCAGCGGTTAGTAGGGCTTTCTCTGGGGCCCGTCCTCCTGTCCTGGGCCCCCTCTAAGTGGCATAACTCCAGGGCCTGGTCGCAGCTGCGACCTTTGCGACCCTGGTAGTTCCGCCACTGAATCTAGGCGAAAATAGCTAATTTGGAAAAATTCTCCAATTCAGCTCACTTTCCAGTTCAGTTATGTTGTCCTAGATTGTTCACTTCTCCGGCCTTCTCCAAACTCTTCACCCTTTTGTCAATAACCCTGTCTATGTTTTATTGTACGGTTTATATGATTGATTTGTTTGCATTATCTGAGCACTCAACCAGGGGCGTCCCGAGGCTGGGTGTCACCCGGGGGTGGAGACCGGGTGACACCCCGCCGTGACATCATCGCGCATTAGCGTGACGATGCCGCGCGTGTGCAATGACATCATTGCGCATGCGCTGTGGTCTTATGGAACCTGCCAGCGGCCATCTTGGTGATAGACGCCGGCAGAGAGAGGAGGGGACTTTCACCCAGCAGGATAAGGTATGCCACCCTGTCTATGTTTTATTGTACGGTTTATATGATTGATTTGTTTGCATTATCTAAGCAATCAACCAGGGGCGTCCCGAGGCTGGGTGTCACCCGGGGGTGGAGACCGGGTGACACCCCGGCGTGACATCATCATGCATTCGCGTGACGATGCCACGCGCGTGTGCAATGACATCATTGCGCAAGCGCGGTGGTCTTATTGACACCTGCCGGCGGCCATCTTAGCGATAGATGCCGGCAGAGAGAGGAGGGGATGTTCACCCGGCAGGATAAGGTATGCCACCGGGTTCCCTCCTCTCTCCTGACACTGTCGGACTCTCGGCCCGTGGCACCAAAATCACTGTCAGTCATTTTGGGGTCACCCCTCCAATGGTGGCACCCCCCTTGTGACGCCACTGCAATCAACCTATTTGTAAAAGAAAATCACATTCACACATTCAGTTAAAAAAATCTTTCATTGCCGTTATAAAGATTTATCAAATATTTAATCAAATTTACAAAATGAAACATTAGCATACAAAACGCTGCCTTGCCGTCTCAGGTTAACTTACACCACATCCTTTTACATCGTCTTCTAACAAGATAAAAGGCACAACTCATTTTGAACACGGTTTATTTAATACCCCCTTACGGGCTGGGCATTGTTATAAGGCCTTTTGGTGATGATACCTGTTGGCAGGAAGCGCTGTCGGTTGTCTGTATAATTATTTAGCTAACAATGCTGAAATTGGCTATTCAATGTAAAAGTCAAATCTGTCGCAAAGTTTTAAACCAGGTGTCCCTCCTGGGCAATTTTAATGTACACTATGAGTATCGGGCTACAACTGCAGCATACTGGAATTGCCTAAAACTGTAGGCATGTTGCAAAGAAAACAGCATTACATTTCTTAGTGTACTCAATGCTATATGTGCTTTCTCATGTGTGGCAAAGCACATAGGTGTAGACAAGGCCTTATGGGGGTGCAGTATTTCCTTCCTTCCTTTGTCCCCAAAAAAAAAAAAAAAAAAATCAAGGAGACACTGCGGTGAAGGATTCTTCCATCAAAGTGCTTTGTAGTGAACAATATTAATTCGCCTTTTTAGCAGTGTTTTTCAGGATCTGGTGTCGTAGCTTCAGAAGGTCGAAAAAGACATTCCGTCCCAGGACTTCCGATGCGCACAAGACTGCCCCATTGAGAGCTCCGGCAAATCCACAGAGTAGGACATCTTGACCTGACACAGGGAAACAGAGTGTGAAATCTTTAGCCAAAATACATTTATGATCAATACTACAGTTTCATTGCTTGGCCAAGGTACCTATAATCCAGGGACGTGTGGTCAGGGGAGGCAGAGGCTCACCTAGCATTATGGCGGAAAAAGCTGTCAGCTACAAGTCTGAAGCTGACAGCTTTTTTTCCATTCAGAGCGGCTTCTATCAGGTTACAGAACAGGGAAATCCTCCCCACTGTGTAACCTGTCATGGATAATGTTAAATTACAGGCAATGCTGCATCTGGCTTTTGACAACTAAGTTAGGTTACACAGCAGCGGGCTTCCCCACTGCTTGTGTAACCTAACATAGTGAGGCAACAGCCTCTACTTGCGGTTAGAGGCTTGAGCTCTGTGGACAGCTTGGACCCATGGCAAAGCGCCAGTGGTCCAAGCTGTCCAATCCCCCCAAAAAAGTGGAGGACATCGACCTCGCTGTCCCTCATTTGCTCGTCACCGGTGAGGAATCAAGATTGATGTCCTCACTGATGAAAAGCACATGAGGGACCGGGAGGCTCCTTCCTTCTCTGTCCTCCCTCCCTCCTCCACACAGCTCGATGACCGGGTTGGGGAGTGGGCTGGGGCAATGCCTCAACAAGAACGGACTCCACTGCATGTCACGGATATAATCCGTACCTCGTATAGGTGAGGAGTCATAACTTCACTGTGTTCAAGCACTACGCACGCTATAAAATCTTTAGCATACAACACACTTCGGGGAGTGTGGGATACCTATTCCCCCTCTGTGTTTTATTGTTCCATCAGCCGACCCCTACCACTGTGTCTGGTACTGACGTAAGGTGCCAGTAGATGAAACCACGAAGCGCAGCCGGAAAATATGCATCTGACATTCCTAGAAGTGTGTTGTATTTCATATCTATTTATGTCCTGATGATAGTCTTCACCAAGACAAGACAACAAAAAAGCCCAACAATGGTTCTAACCCTTCCATACACATACAAAAAAACTTTTTGGCTAGAGATACAATTTAAGAGGTTCAGACAACCAAAAAGAACATAAATGGCATAACCAGAACACAGGAACCAATTTACACTTGAGGGAACGTGTTGATACTTTCAGACTAAATGTCCCACAACAGAAGACATGCTGCTTTCCCACTAAAAGACAGGCTATGAAACTGGACATCAGCTGGGAGATACACAGACCAATAAATGAGGTCACCTGATGGTAGATCACCCTTATGAATCTATAGTCGTTGTGTATAATATGTACAATAGGATCTAGAAACAAACAATAAGAAAATAGGAAGCATCTCTGGAACTTACCGGTCAGGTAAAGTCCTTTTATAGGCGTCTTGGGTCTCAAGGTTGCTATAACTTCAGGGTTCATCCTGGAAATATCATGTTCTACCCCATAGAATTCTCCCCGTGAGGCACCAAGGTAGTGGTTGTTAGTAATAGGGGAACCACTGGAATAGCAATCAATCTGTAAAGCAAGGATATCATCATTAGTGAGAGGGGACTCACCAGTGAAGAAAACACTTTATAGCCATGCAATGAATCTAAGTACTTAGCGATTTCCCTGGAATTCCGTTTTAAAAGAGTGCTGATCCCAACCTAAAGTTGTAAACCTTTATTACAAATTAGTCCTTAGTAAATTACAAGTCCTGTAACTTTAGTAATAAAAACCTGAAGGAATTTTTATTTGTCCCCGGCTCTATCTAAAATCTATAGACAAAAAAAGTTTTAACTATAGGCAAACTTTAAATGTGGACATTCAGATATCAAGCTGTAGACGTCGTACAGTCGGTCAGTTGGGGATCTTTTATCACCACTTCATATAACCTTTATAACTGTTCAAGTCAGTTAATTTCCCATGTATGTGCTACTCCTCATGTCATCGGTTTCTTCCTGCCTCCCCCCATTCTCTTCCATTTAGCTCCGTTACCCTCACCTTGTCCCGGATCTGTGGGAAGATCTTTATGGTGGTCTCCAGCATGGCCTCAGCAAAGGCATTCTTCACTTGTTCATAATCCTGCCCACGTTTCTGCACCTTCTTGTCTTTCCACTCCTCAAACCATTCGTAGTGGGCGAAGGAGAGTGCAGTTAGTGTGGATTTCCCTAGGATAGCAATCAATGGAGCAGTCAGCAAGATTGTAGGAAATCCAAAACAGAGTTTAGATTAAAGTAACTCTTAGGTTGATTTACTAAAATGGGGGGAAATGGAGGTGTTATTTTTCAGATCCTTCAGTCATATGGTTGCTTCAATTGTCCAATCATTAAGTAAGGGTCAAGCATCTCCTTGTGGTATGTATGTGCTTCAATGTCCAACTTGAGGTCCAAGAAACAGATGCACCAAAGGCTTTTTTTTTCCTATGGTGATGGGATGAGTTGGACATCAAGTTTAGTTACAAGGTCAAGGTCCTACTAGCCACTGCATCCAATCTGAAGTAATATTTCATGGATTGCTCTTTTAGGAAACCTGTACTAAAATGGAGGTTGCCATTTGTAGAATTCTTCTTATGGAAATACTACATGCCTGACGGTCATACCAATTGTGGTTCTTCAATAATTTGGGTGACTGACCTGGAACTTTTTTACCGCGAATCGCGCTAAAAACGACGCGCTTTTGCAATAAGCCTAGGTGTGAACGAGGGCTTAATGGAGACACCTGTTCCTGTGTCAACTCTCTAAGGTGAGAATTCTGTTCACTTTAGAGAGATTTGCTCTCATTTCCTGTTGAATTCTCAGGACAGAAAGTGAAATCTCCCCAGCGGGACACAGACAGCAAAAAATAATGCAATTTGGGTTTTACCCTCCCCTACTCTATGTAAAAACAAAAAAACTTTTGGGTTATACATGCTCTTTAAACAATTTCTGGCAATCTAGAGAATGATTAGCTGGACAGCACTCCTCATGGATGGGAAATTCATACAGTCTAGACTGCTTAGCTAGACAACGTTCCTCATGAATGGGAATCTCATACAATCTATAGAGAATGCATAGATAGAAAATATTCTTCATAGATGGGAATCTCATACAATCTAAAGAATGCTTAGCTGGACAACGTGCCTCATAGATGGGAATCTCATACAATCTAAAGAATGCTTACCTGGACAGCATTCCACACAGATGGTAATTTCATACAATCTAGAGAATTTCTTACCTGGACAGCGCTCCTCATGGGTTGGATCTTTTGCGGAAGGGGAGGAAATATACAACATTGGGATATGATTTGGAGCATCTTCTGCAGAAGCATCAAAATACTCTTTCTCCCTGTATAAGAAATTAAGATATATATGTTTTAAAGGCCCAGAAGACAAACATCTTACCATGTAAAGGGTATTTAGATGTAACAAACTGGTTAATGAAAATGTGATCGCTTATTGATGAAACTGTCCGAGTTCATCCAAAACACTGAAAAGATTGCACCTCTCCTCCGCCGCACACAAGCAGGGGTAATCCAAGTGCTAAGAGTAGGTAGTTAGGCGGCGATCCGCGATTGCTCCCTTACTTCCCCATTAGCTGCCAGAAGTAAACAAAGTGATCACATGATCAATGTTTACTTCTGCCGCTAAAGGAACCTTCCAGAGGACTGACTTGTCCTCTGTACTGGGCTTTGGGTGACCATCTTGGGAAAGCCTGTGTCTGATTGAACACAGAGCTCTCTTGTGATTTGGGCTGCTAGGTTTGAGACACAGGGAGTTATTATATATAGTCCCTTATTGTGGCGCACCGCAGTGTGGGGTGAAGTTCATATGAAGGGACAGATATCCATTAGTTAGGGAAAGTACAGGATTAGCCTTAGGGACATGTTCTAGAGGGGGAAGGGATAGCTTCATTTTACACCTGACATGTCTATGTTATTATTATTATTCATCATACAGAGAGGGATACATTGGTAGAAATTGATTTTTTGAGTGTAAAGTCCATATTCGGAAGAGACGACTTACTGCATGCCAGGACCACAGAAGAAATGTATAAAATAAAAGGTTGTCTGAATTCTTAACATTCTTGGGCACAGCGTATAAAATCATGCCCTAGAGGCACTCTTTGCCCTACCCACACCATTTCTAGTATAGAAAAGTATTTCATGCACCTAAATACAACATGACTCAGCTATATAGAGGAGTTTCACAGTCAGAACTGTCTACGTAGCACTTCTATTTACATACTTTCTAGAGAACTCTGAAAGTGCAGGAGCCCTCATGCAGTTCCAGCTAGACTCATAAATGGATTCATTATATTTTTGTGAAGCAATACAATGCTAAACAATGGTCGACTTTTACTCATTTATGTAAAACTTTTATCCCAAAAGGAAACTACTGTTGATGTAACTGCTTAGAAAGAGTTATCTGGAGTTTGGCTTTGATTTGTCAAGTCCATGTAAATATACTAGGCCATCTAACACGACCTTCCCTACAGGGTAACAATGCTGTTGTCCAGGGGTGGCTCTGTTGCTCCTCACTAGAGTGAAGCCCTCCTAAGACAGGTTGTGGGTTACTGGCCAAATCACCAGGTAAAAATAAAAGAAAAAAAGCCTAAAATAAACAACTAATCTAGCCACCACAAGCTGCGCTACATTAAATTTTGTTTTTGTTTTCTGGGTTTAGGTATGCTTTATGTGCAATAGAGAGGCTCAATCATGGATACTTAAGAAGGCTCCAAAGATGAAGTGTTCAGGTTCAAGGTCAGATTTGTATATAACTTCAGCCACCTATTGCTCTGGATTTACAGATCATTTTGAAGGTATTTGCCGTAACCTCAGATTATGCAGTCATAGCTTTATGCGGAACCTGCAGCTACCCTTTTAAATTGTGTATGGTTAACAACCCCTAAAAAAAGTACTTAGTTGGAATCTATAAACCGTAATTCTGCTTTAAGAGTATGAAACTCACAGCTTCTTCAGGTCGGACTCAGGTAGGTAGATGTAATTAGAGGCGGGGAGGTTCACGTCTTCGTTAGAGCCCCTAATGCCAATAAACAGGCTGAAGCCCCCTTTGCCGTGCTTCACCATACTCAGCTGGGACTGGATCTCTAGGGGAGAATAGAGAATCACAGAGGAATGTTAGTGAAGAGCAATGCATGGGTCACCGGTCGCATGACATAATACAATATGATTCTTTAAACTACCAAACTCCTCGGTGGTGCCATCCACAAACCCAAAGCCCAACAACACAGACCCTAAAATATGCTGCCTGGAGTTTGCCTCTAAATAGGATCTGTCAGTTGCGGTAGCTGACTTGTCTTTGTAGGTTTTTAGAGAGGTCATCCTCATCCTGGCTTCACTACATGAACATGTGGTGGAGATAAAAATCTAATGTAGCCCCCTGTAGTAAAAAGTGCTATTAAATTTAGCATGGTCAGATTGTATGCAGTCTGATGCCGATTTGTAGACAAGGTTCATTTGGTTTCCCCAATCAATCAATCAGTCATTGTTTGCATCTGTCTGCTGCTGGGTGTACTCTGGTCACAGAGCAGCAGTGGCGTAACAACCGGGGGGGGCAGCAGGGGCGCGGGCCCCGGGCGAAAAGTGAAGGGGGGGCGCCGGCCGAAAATTGCACTTTCGGCTAAATGCCGAAAGGGACATTTTCCTGCCGTTTTGTCGGCGCGGCCGTGATTCCTTTCATCCCCGCTGGGACACAGAGCAGTGCCCAGCAGGGATGAAAGGAATCAGAGAGAAAATGACAGCCGGCCGAGTGCTGCGGGACGAGCGCTGTGAGCGGCCGGTGTCTTTCCTCCCACACCGCTCGGCCGCCTATCACAGTGCAGCAGAGCGGTGTGGGGGCGGAGACAGCCAGCGCTGTCACAGGAGGCTGGGCTCTCCTCTTGCAGCCTCCTATGACAGTGTGTGTCAGAGAGGAGAACGGGTACAAGCACTCAGTGATCAGTGATCGCTGAGTGTTTGTACATAATTGAGGACCTGGTATGTATACTATATCCTCAATTATGAATGAACGGGAGTGATCTACATCTCCTCCTGTTCATTCATAATTGTAGTTATAGTAAACATACCATGTTATCAATGAACAGGAACACTCATAAAGGATTCCTGTTCATTGATAACAGGGGACACAGAAAAAGAGATTGAGGACTCTGTGTCCTCAATCTCTTTTTCTATTTTTAAAGGGAAATATCAGGGGTCTGTTTAGACCCCCAATATTTCCCCGAAGCCCCTAAAAGTAAAGTAAAAAATAAAAATATTTAATAAAAAATTAATTAATAAATAAAAATTGATTTAAAAAAATGAAAAAGTTTCAAAAAAAATAAAATATTAAAATTTGAAAAATTAAAATAAAAACATGTGTGTGTGGGGGGAGGTGCAGGGTACAGTTCCAGTGGTTGTTTATATAATGGGGGGGGGGGCGAAAAAAAATTTCTGCCCCGGGCGCCCAGAACTCTGGTTACGCCACTGCAGAGCAGCCAATGAGAGATTGCTAGGAGTAGATATCCCTCTATAGATGGCTAGGCCTGAAACCTGGCGACTAGCCATGTGCTTACAGCGGAACCTGAGTCTGGAGGTCCAGTGGTTACTACTGATTACAAGGATGAACATGACTGATGGCTTCTACCTCAAGTACTCCCGTTAAAACTAACCCTGTCGCTCTGTGTACACAGTGAGAGGGGAGAGCTGTGCTCTTCCTCTCTCACTTGTCACAGGAGTTCCAGCACAGTGCTATGCTAGAACTCCTGTATTGAAGGTGACAGGTTCAATAAAGAGAACCTGTCACCTCCAAATGCTATCACACAGTAACTTGTTAGCTCCTGTTCCTGCCTGTGACAGTTTCATTGTCACACGTCGGCTCGAACTATGATGATGAGTGACTTTCACTCACCTCATAGTTCTCCTTTGAGGGCTTGTTCACATGACGTCCGGATTCTGTCAGGGCCAGATCCGTGCGCTCATGCACCCAAAATGCATCCCAATGTATCCCTATGTGTTGCATGGGCTACAGTTCTCACGAGCGCAGTCCGTTCTGGTCCGGACAGAAAAAATACTGCAGGTCACATTTTGTCCGGTCCGGAAATGGTCCGGAAATGCCCGAACGCACCAAAAACACAACAGACACACACAACAGACAAACACAAAAGCACGGTTTGTTTTTTTTAACTGGAACACATCAAAAACACATCAAAAACGCGTCAAAAACGCACTGCATGCAAAGCACCACGTCTCCAGAACTGGACCAGAAAATCGTGTGACCAAGCTCTAAGGGGCGATTTGAATGGTTGAGGCTGCTTGATATAAGCACGGCTTCACCCCATCCTAAATGTGAGTTCCAGATTGACTTTTACACTATACAAATGTGTTGTTTTTCGGCACATCTCTCTCGGCTTGTTTGTAGTTAAAATAATGCGTGGGCCTGGAAGCTTCATGGTTAATTGTTCACTATTTCGAGGTGAGGCGTAGACTTGATGGATTAATGATTAATAAGAAACTCGGGAGTGTACCTACACGGATAATAGAAATGTGCAGATCTCATGTCTGAGGTCCTTGCCTTCCCTCCTCCTATTCCCCCTTTCCTCTTCTCTCCCTCCTTTCCCTCTATGGTCTGTCCCACCGTACAGAATTGTAGGTTTGTATTTCTAAATCTCATCTACCACTTTTAAACTATTCCGTGTTATCAGATCTATGCCATCCGGCCCAGTTTGCAGCAAATACGTGGCCTTTATGTAAAGGATATGTAATATTCGGGACAGATATGACCTGTAGCCAGCCGTATCAGCAAATAAACTTTTATTCTTTTCCTCAATCAAATAAAAATGGTTTATATTCAGCAGAATGACAAAATCAACAGGACTGATTGTCAGCAAACACAAGATTCGGCTCAGCGCCTGTATACCAAGTCCCACTTCAGGGTTAGAGTCCCAGCCTGCTCACAGAGGGCTCCAGTATGGACACAGGTGCCCCAGCAGTGTCTCGGTAGACGGTATTCCACAGCTTAACACACACAGCCATGTGTCCAGCTCCAAACACTCCTCACAGACTGACTGGCTTCCTTTTTTAACACACCTCTGGTGGGTTAACCCTTTCATTACTAGAACTGGCTGTAGGCAGGGATGGAGGCTCTGTCCCACCCAAAAATCTCTCTGAGCCTCCGGATTCCGGGACCCATGTATATTTAACAACTCTGGGAAGACTGCCTAGCAGTTTCCCTTACAAGTCGGACCCGGAACCCCTCACACTGCTTGGCGAGAACTCTGAATACAAGGGGACCTTAACGGGACCACCACCTAAACAAGGGTCCACCCAGGACCCATTCCTGGCGTCCTGTACAGATAGAACTAGCGACTTCTAGAATACGGATATCCTGTTTACCAGACAAATAAAAGTAGTAATACAGTAACTCAGCAGTTTGAGGATTCAGTCGCTTGCATTCATTGGGGCTGACTTCTAAACCTTACGCTCAGCATATAGCAGGGTGAGTGCCATTGGAACGCCATTACCACCACTAGATGGAGCCGATGTTCCTCTCTGCAATCTAGTGGTGCTAGTGCCGGTCAGAGGGAGAAGTTCCGGTATCGGAGGTAAGTATCTAAGCATTTGGGCGAGTACTCGCATTCACCCAAATACTCGGTATCGGCACTCATAACGATACTAGTATCGGTGCATCCCTACTTTTAATTATTCTACACTAGCGGGTCGGTAAGAACTTTTGGGGCAGCAATGGAAATGTAAACCCTAGACAGGCTAGGAGGGACCGATCTATCCAGCGGCTCCTTTGGGTGCTATATTAAAATGGTGTTGAAAGCTGAACTCCAGGAAGATATTAAATGGATTCTCTGCATTTTTATTTACCTGAAGAACCCCCCCACCCCCCAAAGAAAACAAAAAAAAACAACTTTTACATCATGACTGAGCCAAAGTCGGCTAAGTACTGATCAACCAAAAACCAATGTCTCTAATGAGTTACGTATTTTATATTTACATTCTCACTATACACAAAATCTGCACACTGCACTCACCTGGGAGGGATCTGACCTCAGGAGGTAGAAGTTTCTCATATGTATTAAAAATTCCAGCATCAGAAATGATAACAGGAGCAAAAATATTCACCGGATCCATGCCCTTTCCTCTGACAGAAACACCTGCAATGCATGACAGCAATTAGGACTTGTGATACTTTAAAGGGATGTCATTATTAAAACATTCCGGTTGAATGTAATATCAGGGAAATACCACATTATGGCCACTAGATGGAGCCGAGGATCACAGGAAATAAATTATGCGCATAAATTATTATTTCCTATGATCATTGCATTTGAAAGAAGATATACTAATAACATTGTTTTTTTCCCCCATATGCACAATAAGAATGTACATGACTGTTGCAGAACAAATAGCTCTGCAAATCTTTTTTTTATAAATACACTACTCCCAAAAATAATAATATATTGCAGCTTACCAGTCCTTTGATGTGGTGGCTGCATTAGTTTTCTTGTTTCAGGGTTTTTTCCCCTTTTAAAACTTTCACCTGGTGATCTGGACAGTAATTCACTTCCAGTCCTAGAGTGACAACACTCACATGCTGCCATATCTATGGAGGAGAGGTGTTGTCGCCTTAGGACAGGAAGTGTGTTAGGACTACAGAACACTCTTTGTCCCCTCTCTTCCTCTCCATAACAATGGAGGGAGGTGAACACTCCTTAAGAATTCAGTGCAGCGCTGCCAGCTTACTACAGGAAGTTTAGAGCACACTGGATTTCTATCAGGATCAATAGGCATTTTTTCTTTACTTGCAGTGTTTTTTTCTAAAGAGATAATACATAGGAAATACATGCATTGGAGAGATTTACTGAATGTTTCCCGATATATAGGAAATAAAGCTGAACGCCAGGCACAAAGACTTTATTTTAAATAAACTCCTCAATAGCCGCAAAAGATATAAATCCACTTTGTGTGCCCCAAATGTCTGTGCATGCCCAGTTATTATCTTGTAAATATAGCAGTGACATCATCGCTGTACTGTACATAGCCAGTGCAGAGAGCTGAGCTGTGGGAGGGACCCAGCAGATTCCACCCACTACAGGATGCCTGCAGCAAACTATAGGAGAAGGTGAAGACCAGACCAGTCACTCTGTACAAGGAGAGAAAGCAGCAGTGACTGGTCTATATCACAGGAGGGGGCGGAGACAAGACCAGTCACCCTGCACAAGGAGAGGGAGCAGCAGTGAGCGGTATTACAGGAGGGGGCGGAGACAAGACCAGTCACCCTGCACAAGGAGAGGGAGCAGCAGTGACTGGTCTTTATTACAGGAGGGGGCGGAGACAAGACCAGTCACCCTGCACAAGGAGAGAGTGCAGCAGTGACTGGTCTTTATTACAGGAGGGGGCGGAGACAAGACCAGTCACCCTGCACAAGGAGAGAGAGCAGCAGTGACCAGTCTTTAGTAGAGGAAGCTCCAAGTCTCACACTGTATAACTGCACAGATCTGGAAGAAATACACAAAGCTCACCAAGATTCCAGGAAGAATACACTGTACTCTTGTATGAGGACAATATTTGCTTTTTCCAGAAATCATCTTTAACACCTCAATATTAAAGCAATGTAAGTGCTCCAGTCAGGGGCAGTGCTACCGAAAGTATATAGGAGAATGTAATTTCAGCAAGTCTCACCATGGAGAGCCCCAGGGCTGGCAGACGTGACATGATTAGAGGTACAGAACCAACTCAGACATGTAAATTCCTGAGAAAGGAACCCATTCATGCAGAATAATTAATGGTATTCACTAACCCAGATCAACCATTCAGAACTGATCCTGCTCTGACTTCATCAAACTGAACCGTGATTGGCTGCGGTTGATCATTCCACTTTTGCACTGCTTTATAGAATAAGAGTAGACATGTATGATTTGCTGCCTGTGGCCTGATGACAATGAGCAAATGTTTAAAGCTGAACTCCAAGATATGCAAATTTTGTCTGGATACAAGAGTCATGTTTATTGTTCTTGAATCTCGGTGAGCTTTGTGTATTTCTCCCAGATCTGTGCTGTGATCCAGTATGAGACTTGGAGCTTCCTGTACTAAAGACCAGTCATTGCTGCTCTCTCTCTCCTTCTGCAAGGTGACTGGTCTCGTCTCCGCCCCCTCCTGTAATAAAGGCCGTTCATTGCTGCTCTCTCTCCTTGTGCAGGGTGACGTTTCCTGTCTCCGCCCCCTCCTGTAATGAAGACCGATCACTTCTGCGCTCTCTTCTTGTGCAGGGTGACTGGTCTTGTCTCCGCCCCCTCCTGTAATAAAGACTGGTCACTGCTGCTCTCTCTTTGTGCAGGGCGACTGGTCTCGTCTCCCCCCCTCTGGTAGTTTGCTTGGTGCGTTGAAAGACTTTGTAGTGAACTGCATTAGGGCGGTAATGGGCTGCAATGCATCTTAGTGCAGAAAGAAGTAGTGACTGTTAAGGTCTCATGCATGCAGGTGACTGAGCCTGTGTAACGTAAACTCTGGTATATTTCCCCCTGAATACAGCCTCCAATAGAAGTCAGTGGCTGTAGGAGAGTATATGCCGATATTTGCATACAGCCGTGTATGTGTACGGATGCCAATCCTTGACTCAGCTTTTCTGTGTCCAGGGATGTATGTCCATACGCATTTGCTGCTTTAGTACCATGTATACCCGCCTACAGCCATTGTTTGCTATGGGAGGCAGTAAGCACCTGCAGCTCCCTAGTGAGTGGATATAAGTCACAATTTACACTGTATAGGCTCAGCCGCCCATGTGCATGAGGCCGTACATTAGAACACAGGGCAATGCGCGGGACACCATGCTCTGCCGTGCAATGTGAAGGTGAGTTCACAAAGATTGACACCATTGTTACCACAGTGGCCTGGTATGAATAGGCCCTAATGATGACAAATACAGGTGTAAAAACATGATAGGGGGTTCGAACATTCAACTATTCTACAAAAAAAAGCAGCAGTTCCACTTTAACTTTAATTCAGTTATTAAAACAGTAATTATTATCATCATTAGTAGAAGTGTGACATCATGTAACATATAAGAAACATGCTTAACACATATAATATACACTACAGTATATTCGTATCATGCTTACCGCATGCTCTGCCGTCTCCATTGAGGAGGATCTTCTCCACTGTGGCTCTTGACAGCACAGCGCCCCCGGCCTTGGCTATTGTTGGCGCCAGGTGGTATGTGATTTCACTGGCACCTCCAGTCGGGTACCAAGCTCCACGCATGTAGTGGTCGATCAATACACAATGTAGAGCAAAGCTGGCTTTATCTGGGAAAACGCCTGTTAGAAAAAAGGAAACGTCACTGTAGCTAAATGATCTCATTTTCATAAAATAATAATATGCTAATATTGTGCCAAAAAATAAGAAAAGGAAAAGAAAAGAAAGAAGAAAAGAAAGAAGAAAAAAAAGGAAAGAAAGAAGAAAAGAAAGAAGAATATAAGGAAACAAAGAAAGGGGGGGAAAAAAAGGGGAAAAAGGAAAAAAAAAAAGGGGGAAAAAAAGAAAAGAAACATTTGTAGAAAAAAAATACAAAAAAGAGAAAAAATAAATAAAATAATATATATATTATATATATATATATATATATATATTACACACACACTTTTGACCCTAGGCAGAAACTTAGTAGCCGCACTGCAAGGCTTCATCAATTTTTTTTTACGCAGAGTTGTTCTTTAAGTATATTACTGCCTCTGACTTATCTTTACCCATCATTTCCGTACCAACAGAGATGATCAGCAAATCCGATAGACTTTCCAACACGCTGGATGTTGTGTTGCAGAGATGTCGGCCTCCCCAAGACATGGTAAACGTGCCATGGTTCACGTCATGCCATAATCTCTTCCCCTGTGCAGTCACCTTTACGGGTCATCACGGCACGCCATTTATTGGATACTAATGTATTGTTGGTACATACCAGGTTAATTAGATTTACCCACCCCCTGTCTTTCTATATCAGACAAGTGTCTAGAAAAGTGCATAATTCCATGTGACAGGATGAGGACTACACCTATTCTCACCTGCCGGGGTGCAGCCCATGACCGAGTGCACCACTCACCGCACCCTAATTCTCACTCAGCTGTGTATTAGAATATTCCTCAACACTTTCAGGTGCCCATACACTGCACGATTACTGTACGAGAAATCCCGCGATCGTACGATATCGCAAAGTGTATGGAAGGCGTGCAACCGTTTCTACTGTACGGTCGCACGTCTTCCGTCGAACAAGCAGGCTGGAAAATCCGCCGGGAATCGTACGATTCTCGGCGAGTGAGTGGCCTGCTTGTTTGACAACTGCCAAACGGGCCGGTGTGCGCCCGCGCACACTGCCCGTTTGCAGTCATCGGAAGCCCGCCCCTCATTGCAGTTATCGGAAGCCCGCCCCTCAGGGACAGGGGCTGCGTACTAATCACATGCAGCACCTCTCCTTCCTGGGAGCTGCCCGATACGGCCCTACACGCAGCACAGAGCTGTACATGCCAGCTTTTTCTCATGTGAATGAGGCCTTAATGTCGAAGGGCAAGGCATGTGCTCTAGGCCAGGAGTAGCCAAACCTCAACCCTCCAGCTGCGCTGAGGTTACAAATCAAGTCTCTGCTTCTGGGAGTCATGACTAGTGATGGGCTCGGGCGTGTTCGCATGCTCCACGTGCCGAGCCCACCAGGAAGCTGACAGTGCCGCAGCGCCAATCACAGGCACTGAGACAAATCCTAATCTCTGCAGCTGCGGACCGGGATAATGTCTCAGTACCTGTGATTGGCGCTGCGGCGCTGTCAGCTTCCTGGCGGGCTGGGCACATGGAGCTGCGAACACGCCCGAGCCCATCACTAGTCATGACTGTGGCTGTTAGCCTCTTGAGATGTCTAAATGGGACTTTTATCACAGCTGGAGGGCCGACCCCTGTTCTAGGCGCATCTCGCGCCATTCGACTATTTTAGTAAAAACTCCTTCTATATTGTGCTATTGAAACAAACTAATCTGTGTCTTCTATACTGAAATAAAATGGTTCCAACTACCCAATAAGATAAAGGCAAAGTGGTTTAATGCTTCCTGAACTATGGAGAGACTTCCGACTCCTCTTGGAACCCTGTGGAGCCCCTTCCTCTTGCAGTGCACTGGCTGACGTTAGTCACAGATGTCCAAAAGGTGGACAATATAGGGAAAGAAAATAGAAAAAGAAAACAACAATTTGTACATTGGGGTATAGGTCCTGGCCATCTCACCCTGCTGCTCTAGGCACCGGCCCATGAGTGGTGCTATGGGAAATACAGCCCCGTCTATGGAGTCCTTTAGGTCTATTGACAATGCTTTCCTATTCGCCATGTTCACGGTTTCAGTTTTCTGTGGCATACGTACCATAGGTGCCAAAGATGTAGCTCAGCACAGTTTGCAGTTCCTTATTGTTGGTGAACTCGCTGATGACCTCAGCCACACTGCGAGAAGCGTAGCGTAGGAACGGGGAGAACCACTTCGCCAGGCCAGTTCTGCACAAGAATCGGGCAATGGGCAGAGGCAGGAACTTCAGGACACCCATATCACTGATACGATTGGAGACTTTCTGCAATGAAGAAATGTCATAATTATACCATTTCTGCATTGGCGCTGGCCAAGGCATACAGATTTCCTGCTCAGAAAAGGTCATATACAGCTACCCACACACCATTGTACAGCTACTTAAAGAGGAACTCTAGGATTTTCAAAAGTTAACCCTTGCAGTGGGACTATCCTCGCACTGCAAGGGTTAACTGCTCCTTTCGGTCTAGAGAATGGAATAAAGCAGATAAACTCACCTGATCCTCAGTCCTGTGGTGGTCAGCGCTCGCCTCTCTACCCCTCTGCACCCCTCCGCTCCAGCTGTGGTATGGCGTGTTCACGTCTAATAGACCTGTTAGACATGATGACATCACAGGTCCTTAAACCGCTGGAGCCTGGGGGAGAAGAGGCTGCGGCGACCATTCTAGCGGCCAGGCAGGACTGAGGAGCAAGTAAGCGTATTTACTTTATTTATGACCCTAGACCAGAGGTGGGCAAACTTCGGCCCTCCAGCTGTGGTCGGATTACAAGCCTCATCATGCATCTGTCTCTGGGAGTCATGCCCGTGGCTGTGAGAATCTTGCAATACCTTATGGGATTTTAAGTTCCACAACAGCTGGAGGGATGGAGCTCGCCCACCCCTGCCCTAGACCACAAGGAGTAGTTAACCCTTGTAGTTCAGGAGTAGTTCCACTCCAAGGGTTAACTTTTGAAAATTCAGGAGTTCCTCTTGAAAGAGGAACCTGACCCACCAACTTAATGTCTTCAAAACAGGTACTTTCAAGGCATGCCAACTGACAAGGCTGTCAGTGCGCTTATTTCAGCTCTCAACTGAACTTTCAAGCCCTCAAATGGCCAATGTCATAGCTGATCCCATGTGCAGCACCATGGCAACTACAGTCCAAAGCCAAGATGGCACCTTCCTTGGCTGTATAGGATAGGAGGGTGTAGTTCCCCTAATTTAATTACAAAAAGGAGATTTTTGATCCCCACAACTACATCAGGCAGAGTTCCCATCATGGTTAACCTTCAGTACCAATATGTTATCTATCTCAATGGTCAAGGGCAAGAAGACCCATCAGGTACCTATGCCTGGTCATGGGGGCAAACGGAGTCATCTTAAGGTAAGATGGGGCCTCAAAGTCAACAAAATCTTATGAAAGGCTCCATACTTCTACAGATTCCATCATATAACAGTACTTGTAATAGACATTCCTGACATAAGAAATAGACATTGGACATTTACTGACCTTAAGATTATCAATATACTTTGTCATTGTGGAAATAGACATTTGGGTACGTTAGCTCCCCATTCACATCTGAGTGATTCCCAAGTGTGGCAATATATTTGATGGGGATCTCCACACTTGAGCGTCATGTTGCTGCTTGTTGAGCAAAAAGGTACATGAGCTTTTTTTGTGCCGCATCTCATGTTTTGGCCCCATAGACTTCAATTGGAGCGTCTGAAAACATGCAAACACATGCACTTCGGTGCATTTTTTTGTGCTTTTTTGCACCCACCAACCCATCTCCTCCTCCTGGCCTGTGAACAAAATGGAGGACTCAGGAGTGTCGATGCTGGATGCGGAGACTTTGTGAGAATGAGGGCTGACAAGAACCTCTATGAGCCCAGTGATGCCCATTACAAGAACCAGGGTGAGTGGTAGAGGGCCCGAGAAGAAATTGGGTGGGAAGTTCTCCCGGTTTAGTAGCTCCAATTACAGAAACAACCCAGAGGAAGCAGACACAAGGACAATGCCGCCGTATGACGTCACAGATGATACTGCTTTCCTTTGGCCAAAAGAAAACACATAAAAATGCTTCAAAAGTGCATGTTTGTGTGTTAAAAAAATGTGCAAGAAGCTTTAACAACTTCTGAAAACGCTCATGTGTATATGAGAGGGTTATTTTTGTTTGCCTAAACAAGGGGTAGGTAAACTTCAGGCCTCCAGCTGGATTGAAACTACAAATCCCATAATGCCTCTGCCCCTGGGAGTCATGCCTGTGGCTGTCAGAGTCTTGCAATGCCTCATGGGACTTGTGGTTACACCACAGCTGGAAGTTTGCCTACCCTAGGCCTAAACCAACACCTTTCGCCCCTATTTTATTGGACTGTTCTTGATATGACCTGATTCCATTATGGCCAACAATCTTATGCACACAGCCTCTCGTTCCTGAAGGACATAAACCGCACCCATAGATTAGGCCACATTCTCCATCACCATACGGCACCCATTGTGTGGAATTTTATCACTGAGGATTATCTAGAAATCGGTTGATAAAAAGTGAAACTTCCTGTGGAAATTTCAGCACCAAGTCGTCTATAGAAGGTGTGGGTCTCATTTATCGGAAATCTTTATTAGGACGAGTTTGTATTGCTGCAGAGCGGCCAAATTAATTTTTTTTATTCCATATTATCCTCTACAGCAAGATGTTGTGGAAACAGTACAGGGAGTTCCCTCCAAGGTTTGTAAAAATCGACTTTAGATCTACCAAAATTATGTACTATGAGGTCCTACCGAATCTATCCAATCAATTATCAGGCCCTTGCACTACATACTCATTGGTAGATCTAAAGAAGGTTGTACAATCAGATTGTAGTTGACAACCAGTAATATCTAACTACCAATACTACTGGTGATACACATGGTTAGGAATAGATCACAGTCCCTGGATGCACGATCGATCAAAGCGCCCACGGATAGTGATCTATTCCAAACTGCATGTCATCGTATCTCATGCGGACTGCCACTTTCAAATGTGGCCAATGTCACCAGTCAGTAACATGAATGGATGACAGTGGCCTCCTCTGAGCAGCATAATTGGGATTCCTGCCGATGCAATCCCAAAAATGCACAGTCACGCTATAGTGCGAATGTAGCCTAACTGGCTTGTCAGCAGTTACTCACCATGACCAAGCACTAACAGAAATGCTGACTCATATATACCCAATGAGGTGACAGCACATCCCCGGGGATTGGATTCTATGACACTCACCTTGACCAGCTTCATAAAATTTTCAATGGCATTCTCCTCTCCTGGAAAGGCTTTCTTCAGCTCATCAGTATAAGTCTTCATGCCAGTGCGCATATTATAGCGGCGACCGTTTGTAACATCCCCAATCAGTACCACATCGAACGGGTCGTCCATTAGTGACCACTGCAGCTGCCCATCCGTCAGCTGATCCACCAATATCCGAAACGGCGAGCGTTCATTGAGTTGCCCAATGTAGTGTATTCCTGAGGGAGAGAAAGCAGTGTCAGACATTTGTCCTTGGCTGCCAACAACGTGTCAATCATGTCCACGTAGAATAAAAGATCTGAAAAATGCTGATTTATGGTATGAGCACCGAACGGTCATAGATGCCGACATTTTTGCCATTTGACAGTTTTCATTGTATGGTGCCAGAAACAGAAATCCTGAAGCATGATTAAAGTGGACGCGATATTTTTCTCATCAACATGATAATATTTTTATACAAAACTGGTTTTCATTTTATAATCTTATATATTTATGACATCACCGGGTTTCTATGCAATGTAGGCAGATAATGGCTGGTGGGAGGAGTCGGCAGGGTGCTGTACATAGCTTCCTGAAAACATCACAGCACTGTACTCCTCCCAAGAGCCCTCAGCCCTGATGCAGCCAGTGGGCTTTATGAGAGGGTTTCAGTCTGGAGGAGTGGGCGGTCCTAGTCAGACTGCATTTGCATGCAGACAGCCCTATGTAACGCCCACATGTGATACTGTCCCTGTCCCACCTCTTTCATTCATTGGATTTCAGTTCTTGCAGCCCCTTTCATTCATTGGATTTCAGTTCTTGCAGCCCCTTTCATTCATTGGATTTCAGTTCTTGCAGTCATAGAGGTTCTGTATTTGAAAGAACTGAAAACCAATGAACCAAAGGGGAGGGGCAGACCAGGACAGTCAGTCTGGGAAGAAAAGGGCTATATCAGCGGTTTTTCAACCTTTCTTCAGTCGCGGCACCCTTTAAAAGTATGCAAAATCTCGAGGCTCCCCAGTCTAAAATGTACAAATGTAAAAATCAATTTGTGGCCTCCCCAATATCCATACCAGACCCTTATCCCAGATAGGGTTCTGGTATGGATTTTAAGGGGGGACCCCCATGCAAAAAACAAACACACAAATTGCGGTTATCTCCTTGATATCAAAGTTCCCCCTTCAAATCATGAGCCCCCCTTTCATATCTGGAGCCCCCCCATTTACATTAGAAGCCCTTTCACATCAGAGTCTCCTCCCTCCTC